TTTCTTCCTCTATCGCTTGCTGTAGCCTCAACGTGTGTTACAGTGCCTTATTTCTATTTTACATTTCGGTCCCTCAATTTGTTTCTCTTTTCAAACGCCTCAACTTTATTTTGTAAGATCAATTTTTGTCCCATCTTCTTTGTGTTAAAGTGAGAAATAAGAAAGGGACCGAAAAAAGAAAGGAATCACCCATCAGATAGTTAATTAGCTGAAGAATATATTAAACATTTTGATTGAGTTTTTATCTAAAAGCCTCTAATCAAAGTACTCATTCAGTGTGATCTAAACAAAAAAAAAAAGAACCAAATCTTCAACAACAAAAGAGAAGACAGATTGAAGAAACAGGTTGAGAAAAACTACCACTAAAGCTTTCTAATCATATGCTAATGCAATGAATGACTCATCTTAAGCTTCATTCACAGTTCTTTTCTCAGCTCTAACTTAGAGCCTCTAAGAATGCTCCAGAGATCAACTAAACCTTTCTACTCTTCGACGGCGAAGCTCATCTAAAGGGAGATCATTAGAAGAAGACTGTGTGGGTCTCTGACTCACTGACCATCCGTTTCCTCTACCACGTCCCGAGCCACACATCTCGCATTCACTTTGCCAACCAGAATTGTCATATGTACACGACTGGCATCTCCAGATACCAGGTCCTGCTATACCAGTCTGGCTTCTTCCCACTCTTCCTCTCCCTGAAATCCTCCTTCTCCGAGACCTAACCATACTGTTCAGAAACCTTAAAGGCCATGTCACCATTCGGGTAACACCTCTAACCGCCATGGTCACTGGATCAGAGCCTGAATGAGAACCCTTCAACTTCATATAGAGAATACCAGCAAGGATTCCACCTAAATGCCCGAGAAACGAAGCCCTCGGTACAAACATCTGCACTAGAATCAGTTCTGCCCAAGCAGCATACTTTGTCGGGACTAGGATCCCGTACACGCTAGTGTAATCCTCAGCCTGAGCATTGAGAACAACTTTCAAAGCAAAGAGGACGCCCGAGAATCCAACTGCGTATTCGTTGTAATAGGCTCTGTCGTAGTCGAAGAAGACGAGGAGGGATTTAGCCAACAGCAATGTGACTCCTTGAGACATACCGAGGAGTGCAAAGACCATCGAAGCAAACTCGCTGCTTCCCATGGATGTCTCGAGCTTAATACCTTTCCAGAGAAGAGACATCATGTTGTAAACCAAGTGAGGCTCATTGAGATGGTAGAACGCTGATAGAAAGAAGCGTTTCAAGTCCTTGTGCTGTTTAATAACAAAGACACATCAAGAAACAGAAATTAATCAAATGCTTAGACCAAAATTGATTTATATTCGCGAATTGAGGATTGGATCAACAAAAGCAAAGCATAAATGATCAACTTCAATATAGAGAAAAATTAGATCTCAGAAGAAGAACGAAATCCCGAATTCTTCAGAAATTGATACAAGAAAACTACACAAAATTCGAATTCCAGATCTACATCGACAAAAATCGCAATCATGTATGTAAACGATTTCTCAAAGAAGCAATCGCGAAAAACAAAGAGATTACCTTGAAGATGAGGTGGGGATTGAACCAGACCTCACTGATGTGAGGTATAACTTGATCGATAAACGCCGGTCTGAGATAAACGAGAGTGTTCGCGGCCAAGAGACCCGCCGTCACCGGCGGTTTCCACGGCAGTCTACAATACTCAGCGACGGCGCTTAGAGCCAGTAGCGGTAACATCCCTCCGGTTCCTCTTCTCCCTTCACCAAAATTCGCCATTGCTTCGAAAAGATTCTTTGCTTCTGATCTTTCAAAAATAAAAACTCTCTCGAATTTCTTAAGTAATTAATTATTCTCGTCTCACTTATATATAGCAGCTTGGTCTCTACGAAAACAATTCTCTAGACGCTTCACATAGAACACGTGGGACCCCACCGTGACATTAAAAGCCTAATTAAAGTTTATTTTCTTGATTATGCAAATCTCAAATCACATTTTCATCCAAAATAATGGAGATCGACAGTGTCATATTTTGAAACAAAAATTGTATAC